GGGACTGCCTGGGGCTGGTGCCTGGCAGAGGCCCCAGGCAGCTGCTGGGCTATCTTGGGCACTGGGCGGGCTGCAGGCACGGATGCCCCCAGCCCAGCCCTCTGTCCCATCAGGAGAGGTGCCCAGGCTCAGGGAGAGCTCAGCCAGGGTGCTGAGCTGCCAGCCCTGGCACCAACAGGGCTTTTTTTATTTTCTGCTCATGACCTTCCTTTTCTCCTTGGGAGATCTCAGGTTGGGGATATCAAGGAATCACCCTGGGATGAGTTTCCTTCGGAGGAAGTTCTCTCCCCGTCTCCTCCCGCAGGGCTGGCATCTCACCCCGCTCATCACGCCGAGGGACACCCTCTCCCCTCGGGCACACCTTGCCAGGTACAGCCAGGTGCAAACCTCTCACCTTGCAGCTTGCTTGTGGTTATTCAGGCTTACAGCCCTGCTCACAGCTTAGCAGGCAGATGTGCAGCAAGAGGACAGGCACAGAAACAGGTAGGATGTATAAATAAAGACTGGTCCAGCATCCTCTGGCCCTCACCTTACATTTTGTTCTGATTTCCTTGTGGCTGTAAATATTTAATTCTTCTCTGCTCACCTGGTTTTAGCCCGATACAACTTTGAACATCTTTGAGAACTTTGGGAACCAGGGAGGAAAAGGAAACATTCAGCAGAATGATTTTATGAGAAATTTTGCTCCCAGCCCATTTTACTGCAGCTAAATCAGCTGAGCCCTGTATGGGAACATCCTCCAAACTCGAGTCTGAGCCAGGGGAGATAACAAGCCCCAACGCTGAGGGCAGACACTGCGCTGCATCGCTCTTATCTCCCAGGTCAGCAAACACGACTTTGCTGGTCCTACCCCTCCCTCCAAGCTCAGCGGGCAGATCCAGCCGCTGCCAGCGGCATCGCCTCACCGCAGCCAGGGCAAGGGCCAGGCCAGAGGAGGTCTGCTGAGCAAGACGGCGTCTTTCCTCTTGGTCTCACTCATGGTCTTGTCTATTAACACAATTTTCTCATCTTATTCCCTGGTTATCCTTCCCCACCACCGGTCTCCATAGACATCCCCTGTGCTCCAACCCTGGTATCTGCTCCCTGCTTTTCTCCGACGCATAATCCCAGCTTTTCTGTCTTCCTCTGTTGGAAGAAACACATTTCCTCCCGTTTCATCTTGCTTGAGAGGGATTAGGGGTATTGTGCCTGGGATACTGCAGAAACCAAAGTGTTCAAAGGCAGATTAGGCAAGTTCAGTGCGGATAGGGCCAGCGTAACTATAAGCAGATGGTCCGGATACATCCCCTGCTTGGGGAAGTCCCAATGCCTGTGGCTGCCAGGAGCCAAGAAGGTATAAGGAGCCACCGCTCTAAATATACCCTGATCCTACACGTATCTGTTACTGCCCACAGTCAGAAAGAGCCGCGCTGGCCAAACCACTCCAGCTCAGCGCTGAGAGCCAAGGCAGGAGCAGGACCCAGCTTTGGGACTGAAAGTCAGAAGACAATGGGTACCCGGAGTTAAAACTCCAGGGCTGGGTGTAGCCAAAGTTTCCCCGATAAAGCAAGGCTTCCCTGCAAGGAAAAGAAACTCTGGGAAACGGCAGCTCTCCCTAATGCATCGCCCGGTGCCACGGATGTGCTGGGGGGGTCCTGGGGACCCAGACCCGCCCTCGACTGCCCACGCACACCTTTCTATGCAAGGGTCTCCTGCAGGCACGGTGCAAAGCACAGGTTGGTTCCTCCAGGATCACAGCCACAGCCTGGCATTCCCACAGGAGACAGAGGGACCCCCACCTCACTGCAGGGAACAAGTGAGGAGCCAGCAAAGCCCCTTGGCAGCTGAGGTGCTTTGCCCGGGGAGGGATGGAGAAGGGTTTTCTGCCTCATCTTCCCCATGTCCCTGGCAGCAGTGGCTCCTCTTCCTCTCGTTAGGGCTGGTCTGCAGTGGCACAGCTCGTTCCAGCTCCGGGGTGGGTAATTAGCTGGGTTGTGCTGCATGTAAGGGAAGCTGTGAGCCCAAGTTTCCAGGCAGCAGGAGCAGTGGGGAGGATGAAGGGAGAGAGGGTGTGGGGTGGGGGGGTGGAGAAGAGCCTCCTGGGTATAAATAGCAGATTGGGCTCGTTAGCATCTCATGCTGTTAACCCCTTCCAGCCCTGTGCAGCAGGGTTGCTCTAAGCCTGCTATCTCTGCAGGTCATGGCCAAATAGTGAGGTGTGGTGCGCAGGTGGGGGAGAAGGCACAGGGGGGGTGAGGTGTTTCTGTCCTCGGAGACCCCGCCAGCCCCACGGGCAGGTGATGGAGAGGGAAGGGAGGAAGGCAGCAGTAGGGAAAAGCTGGGGCCAGGCTGGGAGCCCCAGGGGGCTCCGGGTGCATGGCCAAGCTACAGTCCCATGAGTCCTCCTGCAGCGGATTCCTCCATTTTTAGCATTTCTTGTTATTCACACACTTTGCAGCACATTTCATTCGAGCCTCGGCAATCCCAACATGTATTTTGGTGCAGAGGAAAGGCCCCGGCTGCTGCTCCAACCGGGGGAGGCTGGAGTCCTTGCTGGGACCCCGGCAGGGCAGCCCCTCTGCAGGGCATCGGTCCTGCTGGAGCAGAGGCAGGGGCAAGGACGGCGGTCAGATCCTGCGGAGTCCAGCACCCTGGCAACGCAGAGGAGACCTGCCATGCAGCTGCGTGCCTGAGACAGATGGAAGCTGACAGGCTTTTTCCGAACTGAAATATTTATGGGGCAGGAGCCACATGGCCAGTCCCAGTGGCCCTGGGTCCAGTTCCCTGGCTCTGCTGCAGCAGTTCCTGGGCAGGGAGGGACCCAGGCTACCCGGAGCGGTGAGAGGGCCAGGGAGGAGCTCAGCCAAAGGGGAAACCTCCCAGCTCCCGGCTGTGAGATGTGAGGGCTGCAGAGCTCCTGTCCTACCCCAAAATGCTCTCCCAAAAGCTGCTGGATCCCACCAGGCTCGGCATATCCCAGGGTGCAGCGGAGGGAAGAGGGAGTTCATCCCCACTCCCGCTGCTGGACCATCCCTGGCCCTGGGGACCAACAGCCTGCATCAGCATCACTCTCAAGGCTGGGGTTTGGGATTTTTTTTTTTTTTTACTGCAGTTTTTTCCCCTCCCCTCTCTCGCTCCTTCTGGCCTATTTTTGTCTTTTGCAGGGGCTCAGGAGTTTTCCTGAAACAGCTTTTCCGAAGGAGGCTACTCTCAGATGGACGGTCGGTGGGAAAGTCTTCGCTTCCCCCCGCCATCGCTCCTCCTACACGCCCCGTGCTGCTGCTGCTGCTGCTCGGAGCTGCAGCCGCTTTTTGGAGCATGCAGAGGAATACAGCACCCGAGCGGGGGGAGAGGAGTAAAAATAGTCCCTTGCAGCCTACTGGGGCCTCAGTTCTCCCTGAGGGAGCTATGGCCAAGTGGGTTAGATAGGACCTACTTCAGTCCCCCCGCACTCGGTGGAGGCCTTTCTTCCCATGACCCCATTTGAAGATGCTCCCTCCCGTGAGGAAGAGGAGGGACGGTTCTGTGGACCAACAGGGCAGGCTGCTGCTGAGCCCCTTCTCCATCTCTGGGGTGGTGGCCGGCGTGCGAGGGAAGGACAAACAGCCCCTGCTGCTGCAGGCAAGGCTGAATTATTGATGGGGACCCCCAGTCCCGGTGGGGGCATGGGAGGGCAGCGGAGCTGGGCACGAAGCACCAGCAGATTTGCCCAGCTCCTCACCTGGTACACGGAGGGGGAGCAGGGTGCGCTTACCAATGTTGGGGTGCTTCAGGAGGCGACAGATCCGGGCTTCCCGTTCCAGCTTCTGGTGATCTGAAAGAGGCAACGGCCTTAAATTAGGGTCTGGGGAAGGGAATAAACTGCTCTCAGCTCCTGCCGTGTTCGCAAGAGGAGGTGTCAGCGCAGCAAACCTGGGGGGGATGGAGCAGCTGGCAAGGAGCAAACCCATCCTTTTTTCTTCTGCTAAAGAATAACGGGTTTGGGGACATGTTCAGCATCAGTATCCCAGCACGGATGCCAAGCCCCCAGGTATGGATGCCATGGGCAGTCCTGGACTTTGGATGATCCCTCGCCCTCCTCTCTCCCTTCTCTTTGCTGAACAACCCCCCATCAACTCCCCAAAACCCCAGAGCTGCCTGGGTTATCACTGCCAGCAGCACCTGTTCCATTTTCTCTTATTCAGCCAAGCACAGACAATCAGCAAGGACATGTCTGGCCCCGAACGGTACAATTTGAACAATCGAAGACAGAGCCGACCAGTGAGAGCTGTCAAGCTGGAACAAGGCTATCCGCTTCACCCCCCCCCTCCATCCCCAGCCGTTTCACATCAGGTCTTTGCTCTCCTACATTGCAAAACCCTGGCTCTGAAAATTTGCTTTGCTCTGGTGCCTGTCTCCAAACGGGCAGCACAGGTCCCTCTCCCAGCTTTCACCAGGCTCGGAGATGTGAGACAACAGAGCTCTGGACAAAGCAAGTTGAGCTGAGCTGAAAAAGCCTCCATCTCCTGGGGCAGCCCAGAATGAATTTTCAAATAATTTCATCCCTTTTTCCCTGTCTCTGCACTACCTGACCCAACCGCCCTGCATGGAGGTGCCTTGTCTAGAGGCGTTTCATTCTCGCAGGAACCCAGCAGGCGCGAGAAGCGAGGATATAATTAGGGCTGCTCGTCTCTCAGCGCTATCGCCGTTACCTTGCAGGTTCACACCCCAGAGTCTCGCTCCGCATCAAACCAAACCTGGGTGTCTCTGACCGCAGAGACGTGAAGGCAATGCACCCCCTTCCCTGTGGGGGCTGGAGCCTTCCCCAGGGCTCAATATCCCCTCTCCAGCGACCGCGGGGCTCGGCATGGGCAAGTCACCCTGGGGCTTGGGGTGAGTTTTGCAGCCTCTGCTGGGATCTGTGAGCCAAGGGTTGGGACAGACTCGGTGGCCTCGTTCAGCTCCCCACGGTGTTTCCCTTGACGGGGTACAACCTTGCCAGGGTGGGACAGGGTGACAGGGAGAGGTCGGGGTTTAGGCTGTTGCTTTTTGCAAGCAAAATCTGTCGTGGGGTGGAGAACGGGGATGGGATGGAGAAACAGCGTGACCAGTGAGGTAAGCACTTCTCTGGGGAACGGGGAAGCTGCTTTCTGCCCCCTCTTCTGCTCCTGCCTGACAGCGATCTTAGGTGAGTCACTGATTGTCACTCACTGCCTCAGTTTCCCCATCTACAGCCTGGACGCTTGGGCCAAATGGCCCATGGGGAAGCCCAGCATTGCTGCTGTCTAGTAAAGCTCCTTTGCTTGCGTAGAAGAGGCCAGAGATCACAGAAAAGGGTGGCAAATGCAACCCCGAGTACAGAGTGGGTCCCAGCACCGCTCTGCGTGCCTGCATGCTGCTGCCAGCCGAGCCTGGGGCTGCACCA